ATATATATATATATATATATATATATATATATATATATATATGTATATAGATAGATAGATAGATAGATAGATAGATATTTGTATATTAATGCAATAAATAAAATCTCTTAGGGGTAAATGATGAATTTTATTCCTCAAACCCCCAGTCAGCCGGCCCTAAACCCTAAATCACTCGACATTTTTCTTCTCAACCCAGGTTTTCTTCTCTCTTCCATCTCCTTGCAAACCCTAACCCTAATCCTCCCTTCGCCACCGCTGTTGCTACTGTCATTGCCCGAGAAACCACACCGGCCACACTTGCAACTCGATGCCGCTCGAGCAACAACCATCACCTATCTCTTCTATCTTCTCCTCTATCTCTTCTCTTTCAAGTTTCAAATCTCAATTCATTACTGTAGCCGCTCGAGCAACCACCATCACCAACAGGCAAGGGGCAACAACAATGTCTGTGACAATAGTCTCGACGGCAACCACCATCACCGATGACAGCCATTATCTTCTCTATCTCTCCTTCGCCGCACTACCACTATCAGTGATAGTAGTCTCGATGGCAACCATCATCATCGACGACAAACATCATCTTCTCTATCTCTCCTTCTCCATTGCCGCACTGCCATCACCGCTCACCAGCCACCACTGCCATTGGTTGAATTCGAATCGAATCGAATATTCGATTTGATAATCGAAACCGAATTCAAACTCAAAGATTTGATATCCGTCGGATATCGAATCAAATTCGAATATTAGTGTTAATAATCGGTTTTGAATTCAAATCTAGCCTGATTTGATTTGAAATCTATCCGTTTACAAGCCTATTAACCTACAAAGCTAGTTTACCCATCTTTGCACAGAGGATTTCCCCTTGTTTAGTTGATGCATCAAAATTAACTTTGACGAAATTATAGTTCAGTGGTATCCATTTAATTCAACTTACAGATTTCATCTTTTTTTTTTCATCATGCCCTTGTGGGTTTCTATTAGCCTCGATGGATTCCTTGACATAGGTCCAAGCTTTACTAATTATTTTTTTTGTGGGGGAAGATTTTTATTATTAAAAATTGTCATTTATATTTTTCCAATCCTTTGGCACAACACAAGTCCATCCCCCTAATGCTTTCTTTTTCATTTTGTTGAAAGGAAACCTAGTGCTTATGATCTTCTTGAAGACTTTATAGAGCTTTCCTAGTTTTTTCGATATCATATCATTCTGGTATCATACAATGTTTAAGAACAGACTTAGGGGTTGAATCATTTTTGCCTTCGAGTCGTGAGTCATCACTTCAACCATTTGGGTTAAATGGATTAATGGTTCAATAACATAGTTGGATGATTTTTGACCAAATCATCGGTTTTTTATCAAAAGCCAGATTTTACTAAAATTGGACTTGAAAACATGGCCGGGTGATGATTTAGATCAACGATAACTTAAAAACATTGGTATCATAATCAAACCCCATATAACCAAATAACTAATTACGGAAAGGAAACATGGCTGGGTAATCATTTAGATCAATGGCAATTTGAAAACATTGGTATCATAGTCAAACCCTATATAACGAGTTATGGAGTGGTTCTTGTTTTCATATCCCAAGGAGGTGTTTGCCAACAAGATTTTGTTTTTGTTTTTGTTTTTGTTTTTTGTTTTCTCAAAACAAAAAAGCCATTCCATTATCCAAAACACAAAAAAACTCAGGTTTCAAGATCAAAATCATAGGCATTTGCTAAATCCATTCTAATATTTCACAAAACCAATGCAAGTGACTATACTTGTCCAAGTTGTACCTTTGCTTAGTATTTGATGGCGCACGATCTGGATGCTCCTAGATGTAGGGTAGCTCGGATGTCTGTTACCAAGTAGGTCGCTCGAACTGCAAAGGAAAGGAGGATTGGAGAATCCGGGGTGGCTAACCCGACGAGGTCGCTTCGATGCTTAAATCAGTAACTGTGATGTGAGGTGAGAGTTTAAGAAATAGGAGAGCTAGAATGCACTTAATCGCGCGTACCTAGGTCTTGGGGGTCGATGCCCTTATATAGTTGAGCTATCGTGGGTCTCACGAAATGGCTTCGGGATCCTCGACTTGCGTAGATGGGTTCTGTTCCACTTTAGAAGGAGAGTAACGTATCAGTCAATGAAGTTTATCGTTACCTTCCGATCCAGGCAGGGAGAGGATAAGGCTTACTGTTATGCGGCGTGATCCCGGGAGATTTGGAGTCCGCTGAGAAGCTTCTGGAGTCGATTACGTGTTGCTTCGGTACTTGGGTACCGAAGTGGCTTTGGTACCGAGGTGCCCGAACACCCGGGCTCCCGAACTGCTGACAAGGCTCTCCTTGCTGAGTTGTGGTCCTGCTGGCAGGTCGTTTCCACATGTCCTTCATTTACTAGGTTGGGCCAAATCACCCATCATCAGTGTTTTCAACCTACAATTGATTTAGCCAGAGCCAGTTGAACAATTTGAACCATCATTTGCATGAAACCTACCATTTGGTAAAATAAATTGTCTAACGTGGGGTTTAACCGTTGACCCATTTGACTTGGTCACTGGGTCATTCGGGTCATGGGTTGCTCATTCAATGTATGTAAAAACTTTTAGAGGCCATAACTTTACTCTTGGATTTTCAATTGGGATGATCTTTTTTTTTATTTTGGATAACTTTTTGAGATCTATGCATTTGAAAATTCTTTTTTGGCGCCTTGTCCTATATTTTTTCCAAACCTTTTATGGGTCTTAAATCGCAAAGTTTAACATTTTTTACAAATAAAAAATAAAAAACTGAATTAAAAAATACAAATTAAATATAAATAAGATTTATATAACATATAAAAAATAATAATAGCAAGGTCTGACCTGTTCAACCCAGATGATTGAAGTTGAACTGATAACCTACGACTTGAAGGCAAAAATGGTTAAGCCTCTTGGTCGGTTTTTAAAACATTACTTGCTATTCAATACATCTAATAATGGCATGGTTTTTAAAACCGGACCAGATCGAACGGTCAGACTGGAAAAAACAGGAATTAGTCAGGTGATTGGTTCCGTTTTTCCCCAAAACCGGATTTTTGCCAAAAAACGTTGATTTGGTTAACAAACCGTTGACTCGGGCGGTTGAACCATTTAAACCGTTCAAACTGTTCAACGGTTTTGACCGTTTTTTTATTTTTTATTTTTTTTAATTTTTGTTAAAACAGGCCGACCATTTGGTTCGAACAGTTGGACCATTCGACCCGGGAATCGAACCCCTGACCGGTTTGTTGTCCGGGTCGGTTTAAAAAACCTTGGATAATGGTATGAGTCATTAGTATTCAGTGTAGATGTTGTCAGTACCATGTGCAACGTATAATATGAAAGGGGGTCAACTATGATTAGAGGTGTAAGTGGGTCGTGCCCATGGGCGGCCCGCACAAAGTGTGAGTCGTGCCATGTTGGCCCGCAGGCCATCATGGGCCGTGCTACCCTCCCCGGTGAAAATTCTAGGGGTCTACCCGACACAACCCACGGCCTAGGCCCATGCAGGCTCGTGCCGTGCCGTGTCGTGTCGCGGGCCTAGGCCTAGCCGGGCTATAGGGCGTGCCGTGGGCTTGGGCCCTGCCGGGCTGGACCACAGGGTTGGCCTTGTTTCTGGGCCGAACCAGGCTAGAGTGAATGGATATAGGGATACAAATTTATGATTACCCAAAAAATAAATAAATAAAAGTATAAAACAATTCAAATAGGAATTTTATTTCATTTAAACTTGAATGAATAATGATACAAATTACAAAGCATACAAATATTGAAATATACAATGGTTGGATACTCTATACTCCATACTTGGATTAATGAAATATGAAAATGGAATAAATTAATAAAATATAAAAAATACAATATAGACATATAGTTACAAATTGAAAATACAAAATTACATTAATAGCAAATAAATTAAATAAAATTAAAACAAAATTTATAATAATTTGAAAAAATAAACAATTGTGGGTTATTTGTTAAAATTTACAATTTAAACAAAATTTACATATACATTATGATGAAAGTATTCACACAAAATTTCATCATCTGCTTCAAGTGAAATATCTGGTGTATGTAGTAGTGTAATGCCCTCCTTTGTCTTGTAATTGTAAAGTTGTAATCTATATTCTGCATCATGATTCATGATTGCATCTAGCCAACCTTGGTACAGTGGTACCTGTAGGTCCTGCACTAAAACAACTAAACAAGAATCTAATGGAACTGTACCCTGTAAGCACCGGAGGGGTTAGTAGATCACGGATCACGTGCCATGGTGGGATTGGCGGCGATAAATGTTCTCCGACTTCTCCCAATATTTTTAAAATTTATTTTCCATTATTTCAACAATTCATTTAAATTGTGGGTTATTTTTTCCCTCATTCTCATGTGTGATAAAATGTTTGGTCAAATGGTCAGTACCACCCTTGCTACAATAGCTAAAGTCTTTTCTACATTTTTGGCAAACTGCTCTTTTCCCCTTCTCAACAACATCTTCTATTTTAAATATTTTCCAAATCGGGCTACTAAACTTGGGGTTTTAGGAAGAGCTAGCCATTTTTTTTCAAATTCTAAAAAAAATAAAATTAATTTAATTGGACTTACCTGGATTGCTGATTCAAAATCCCAACTTGATTTCAATGGTTAAAGCCTTTCAACGTGACAACGTCCAAGGCTCCAAGCCTCCCAAATTGCTAACTTGGAAAATCAAGCAATCAACCAATCAGACTATGAGACTATTAGAGTTTACTCAGATTGCAGAGAATGTATGAGAGATTGAGAGAGTTAGAGACTGAGAGATTAAGAGAATAAGAGAATTGTTGAATTGGTGTGATGAGAATGGTGGAGGATAGGGGCCATAGGGCTATTTATAGGAATTGAAAATAATTCAATTGCCCAAAATACCCTAAAAACTAATTATTTTTTAATTGTTGGGAGGGGTATTTTGGAAATAACTTTACTCAAAAAGCCCCCTAAGGTAATTGTTATATAACTATTGGGGGCATTTGTGTCACTTCTCCCCTCCATAACCATAAGCAAAATACATAAATACCCCCTACATAGCTATTTATAACTGTTAGGGGAGGTATTTATGTAAACCCCCCCCCCAAAAAAAAAAAAAAAAAAAAGCTGAAACTAGTCGGTGTGGGTGGGTGGGGGAAGTTAGTTGTCGGACGGGCCAAGCGCAGCCTACTACAGGCCCTACTAGCCGTGTTGTGCCTGCCCGTGGACCTTGAATCCCCAGTCCAGCACGACACGGATGATTGTGCCATATCAGGCCGAGCCAGTCCAACTTTGTGTTGGGCCACGGGCGGCCTGCCCGATTTACACCTCTAACTATGATATAAAAAAGATATAATGTCCAAAAAAACAACTGGGTTTTGATTTGTCAAAACTCATTCCACGTGGCAAAAGTAATTATCAAGGAAGGGGGGGGGGTGAGGAAAGGAGGGGGAGTGAGACCTTGCTGACTTGATCTCACATTTGGACAAACGCCCGAAGTACGAGAAGTTAAAGAATATGCGGAGATAGATGCATTGGAGTTGGAGGCAGAGACTGAAACAAAAGCCCACAGACCACAGTTATGACCGTCAACGTCACCTGATCCCTGATTTGGATCTGAAGCAAGTTTTTCTTTTTTATTTTATTCTGAAAATCCATCACCGTCCGATTACCAGTCATTACTTTTTTGCAAGTTTATAACCGACTGCTTCATCTTGAATTCTTGATCATCCAACGGCTGCTTTATTTTTAGAAAATACAGGCATACAGCCCAAATTGTCTGATATTTCTCGAAATAAGAAAACAGGGAGAAGAGGAAGAAGCGAAGAAGAAGAAGAAGAAGAAAAAGAGACCCAGGAGAGAGAGAGAGAGAGAGGGTGGGAGAGACAGAAACAGCCAGAGGGATAGAGAGAGCGCTTAATAGAATGGAGAATCAAACGATCTGCAATAGCAATTTAAATGGGAATCCCTCGGGAGACAAGTCTGTCCGTGTCTACGCCGATGGCATCTATGATCTCTTCCACTTTGGTCATGCTCGCTCCCTGGAGCAAGCCAAGAAACTGTGAGTCACACCCATCTCGAAATTCCTGAGATTTCTCTTTTGTTCTTATCATTTCTCGGTTATTTAATTCTCTCTGGATAGCTGGATGTTTAAATTGTCTTTTTGCTGTATATTTTGTTCTGGGTATCTCTCTCTCCTCTGGTATGGTTTTCTTCATTTATCGAGCTTTTTTCCTTTTTGCCAGTTTCAATTAATTACCGGATTGCATTTGTCCTGCTTGATTTAGTACTCTGTGTATTGTGAAAGCTTATTTAATGGGTTTTTTTTTTCTTTTATTTTTTGAAGGTGGGTGGTGATTGGAAGTTCTCTACTTCTCTAAGATACTATTTGCGGTTTTTATATTACCCTTTCTTTTTCATTTGTTAGTTTGTTGGGTCAGTTTTTTAATTTTTTTTTTATTTGCTATGGGTTGGTTTTCAGTTGAGTTTTGTGATTCTCAGGAGTAATTATTTTTCATTCTCTGTACCAAAAGCTATTCACTTGCAATGACAGCATACCTGTGAATAAATAGGATGCTTGAAATTTCCTCAATGGATGACATACGTCAGAAGTTTCTTCTTCATTACTATTAATATAAGAAAATATTAGGGGGAGAGTGAATGGTACTTATTTAAATCCATACTCATATTTATCATTAGAGTATTCAATGAAGGCAAAAATTATAATAAACAAAAATGTATTTTTTGAAGCTTTTCTAGTGAGGATATATCATTTTCTTTTTTTCATTAATATCCACATGCCAGAAAAGAGATTAAGTATATTGTAGTTGTAAATGGTTATAAATTAAATGTGACTATTTCCAAAAATAAGCATCAGTTTTAGCAATCTTTGTTTATGTTTGAAGGAAAGGAATAACTTGTTGAAGAATATGCAATAGTATGAGAAAACCAAAAGGTGCAAAAACAGAGGTGGTTAATGATCTAGCATTTTCAGCAGATGCTAAATTAACCAGATTCCCTGGGAAGATCAGCAAAATTGAACTGGATGGTGTGCCTCAGGTCCAGGCTTCTAATGGCTCCAATCTAAGAGAGGGAATGTAGCTAATACCTAATTCCTAAGGATTGAATCAATTGATGCTCCCTTAAAATATCATGGAAGGATTGAGTCAAAAATGTTCTTTGCCCCCTTTTTCTGGGGACTAAATTAGAGGATAAAAAACTATTGCAGGTTCATTAAAAAGACTTTTGTGTCTACGCAGTGGATCCCCTCCTCCATTATTAAGCTGAATTTTGATGGTTGTAGTTTGTGAAACCCGGGAGCTTCAGGTATTGGAAGAGTGATAAGAGATAGCAATGAACATATACTAGCTATCTGTTCTGGGCCAATAGGGGTGAGTGACTTGACAAGAACGGGATTGCTATCTCTACTACAATGACTAAGATCAGGAAGCTCCATTATAGCAATCTATAGGTAGAACTGTAGTCAAGGGCCTTGCCGCCTTGGCAATATCAACATCAGTGTTGCATGGACAAGGACACAGGAGTCATAATCTAACATGTCTTCTGACTTGGCAAGATGAGAAAACATGGACTCACTGACACATTTATGAAACTATTAGTAAAATGGTTCATTTTTTAAACTCTAACATTATATACCTGCAAAAAGCATTGTCTTTGTTACTAAGCAATGTTTGATATGAAAAATGACATTCATCTTGTACACTAGTTGTTCATTTATGTCAAATAATCTAAGAGGTATAAAGAAAATGTTACATAGAAGTGTCCTCAAGAATCATGAAGTGTTGGACTCCGACATGTGTCCAACATGGACACATCATCCATTTAAGACAGTCCATGCCACATTGATCAACACACATTCAGGTAAGACAATTGGCTAGATGATTGTGAACATCCTTTCTTCGGTTCAACAATCAGAAAATGGGCTAGCTGATGCACTAGTCAAACAAGGAAGGAGCACAAAAGAAACAAATGTGTTGGAGGAACATTCCATGGGGATTGGACTTTTAAGGGGAAGTGCCTATCTCTTGTATGAAGTGTCTATCTAGCTCAATGTGCTTAGTTCTATCATGTTGAATCGGGTTATAAGCTACGTTAATGGCAACTTGATTATCGCAATACAATATTAGGGGCCTATCATGAGCAATACCTATCTCCTTTAGGAGAGGTCTAAGTCATAACAATTTTGAAACTCTATGGGCAATATTAGGGGCTCCGAGAACCCCCAATTTGGTAATGTTGTTCATTTATTCATCCTAATAAAATATCTTCTTAAAAAGTAATTAAAACTATAAAATCATTATTTTTTGTGTGAAAACTAAGAATGTAAGACCTAACATGGATTTGTTTGGGCTTGCCTCGAGGGGCGTGGCACAAAAGCGGCTCATAGAATCAGGAATGTAATATGTTTTACATTACATTAGCAACTTGAAGTAATGCAATTGAGTGAAAAAAGAAATTAGAGGTTTTACATGCTTGAAAATGTTTTATATGTTTGATTTTATTTTTAAGTTCTCATTTGAATATGCTTTACATCTTATGTTTGTGTATTTTAATTTTAGATAATAGGTTTTTTAAAACATTTATTTTAAAATTTAAGTTTATATTTTTTATTAATATTATGTTTAATATTTTTTGACATTGTTTTTGAATTTATATATGTATATATTTTTTATATTTTTTTATTTTTGCGCCTTGCTTCAAAAAGGCGTGCGCCTTGCCTTGTGCCTTGCGCCTTGCGCCTCAGGCACAAATTGACCTCTGCACCTTTTTTTGCGCCTTGTGCTTTTAAAACACTGAGGTGAACAATCTTAAATAGGGGAGAAATCTATATCAATCTACTTCTCCAACCTGAAATCATTATGGCATGAGAGTGATCACTCGGGGACAATTGAGTGGAAGATTCAAAAGGATGTAGCAACATATAGGAAGTTAGTTGAGACAAATAGGGTGTTTGGATTCCTTGTGGACTAAATTCAGATTATGACATTGTGAGATAGCAACTCCTTACTAGAGATAGTCTCGCTTTATCTCAAGCCTACTCCCTAGTACATAGTGAGGAAAGTTACTTTACGGATTCCGCCTATGGAATTAGCTTTAGCAATTATAAAGTTGAAGCTTGGAGGTGGTAAGGAGAAGGAAGAAAAGTGGGATGTGTTCTATGACTACTATAAGAAGCCAAAACACAATAGAGACACTTGTTGGAAGTTTCACCCTCACCTTATTCTAGCAAGGCTCAAGAATAAGAAAGGGAATGCCAAATGCAACTATTACTACAAAGGTTCCATCACATCCAATGCCGGATCTAGTTCTCTAGATGCCTCGTTTGCAATAAAGCTGCTTTGAATCAATTGGAGAGTGATGTTGGAATTTTTGGTCAGTCTCAATAAGCTATTGTACCTCCTCCTACCTTAGCATTTGCACACTCAGGTACAAGGGCTATTGCCTATCATGCCTTAGCCCCATGCAACATTAGCCTTTTTTGGATTGTAGATTCGAGTGTCTTTGATCATATGACTAGTTTGTCTTCTTTGTTTTTCTCTTATTGCTTGTTCTCTACAGAGACAAAGTATCTATTGTTGATGACTCTCTTGTTTCCATTTTTGGCAAGGGAGAAATTAGAGTGTTTGATGCCATTTCTTTATCCTCAGTCTTACATGTTCCTAAGCTCAACACTGATATGCTTTTAGTTAATAATATCACTAAAAATCAGAATTGTTCGGGGACATTTTTTCCTGACCATTGTATCTTCTAGGATCTAGCAACAAGGAAGGTGATTGGGACTGGCCGTGAGACGAATGGAATCTACTTGCTTGATCATCCACCTGGGAAGAATAAAGAAGTTGGGAAGTCTTTTGTGTGTCGATCTATAATCGATTGGGTCTTCGTCTTTTGGGTCTTTAAAGGGTCTCTTTCTTGCTTTGTTTCAGTCAGTCCAAGTGTCTAGTTTGAGGTGTGAAAGTGTGCATACCGGTGTTTGGGGACCATGTCATATTACTGTTATGGAAGGGTACACATATTTTCTGTTATTTGTTGATGGTTGTTCTCGCTTCTCATGGATTTATCTTATACGTTCTTGAGATGAGGTACCTACTCTGACCCATGCTTTTCACCAGATGGTTCTAACTCAGTTTGGAATCAAAATAAAAAAAAATTTAGATCGTGAGTATGGGGTTATCCATTAGAGAACCTATCCCCATACACCTTAGTAAAATGAAGTAGCTGAGAGAAAGAATAGACGCATCTTGGAAGTTGCTAGGAGCATCATGCTGAATTCTAATGTTCCTATACGTTTTTGGGGGATGCCATCCACACAGTTGTCGTTCTCATCAATAGGGTTCTTTCATGGGTTTTAGACATGAAAGTACCTATTAACCTATTGTATCCTGACAAAGACTAGTTCACTATTCCCCTTAAGACCTTTGGGTGCACTTGTTTAGTTCAAATCCTTGGACCTATTGTACTAAATTTGATCCTAAGGTAACTAAGTGCATTTTTCTTGGGTATGCTCAAAATCAAAAGGGGTATTTTTGTTAGGATCCTATCTCTGGGACCTGTTTTGTGTTTGTTGAAGTTCGACCTGCCCTAGAATTCTGTCTTGTTCGTTGAYTGTAAAGTAAAGTAAACAGCAAGAAGTAGGAGAGGAAAGAAGAAGGAAGAAAAGAGAGAAGGTCTGGTTCGAATTAGAGAAAAAGTTCTCCCTAGATTCGGCCAGACCTRTTATTATATTATTAACTTATTGGAAAAGACTTAAGTGCCCTTATTTAAGTAAGAGGCACTTGAACTAACATAACAGTACACATCAACATTCTCAACAAGTACAAAGACCGAAATACCCCTTCACTAACACTAGTAACAGTGTCTATGGATATTATCCCAAGATTTCATCTCAGGGGGAGAGTGGTGAGTAGGGTATCTTTGCACCGGAAGTTCCATTGCCTATTCTAGTCACTGAAGGGGAGTGTGGTGAGGGAAATTGTTAGAAGTGCAAATAGTTGAGGGTGTTTCACAGATGATGGTGGATGCAAGTTGGTTCTAGTCATG